TAAACAAACCCAAAAATAAAAATATGACGAGAGATTAAAAGAAATGTGCTAAATTTGATATTACATTGATTTTTGTGTGACAAAATAAAACCTTAAACTTTCTCAGTTTAAGTTAAACCAATTATTTCAGAGGTAACTGTAACTTCCAGCTTGGTGGGAATCACAATCAATTTTACCGTGATAACACAACCCTCCACGCATGTAATGTAATCACGTCCCGTTATTCAAGATTTGGATTACAAGATTGGGATGTGTTGAGATTGTGTGTTAAACATAGGATGTCAAGTAAAACACAAGCATTGCAAGCTGTAAACATCGTGGTGTTTTAGGTCTGCAGAAGCACCAGATCAAAAGAACAGCTTATTTATTAGCGATTTGTTTCATTCAGAGCCATTATGTTACAACAACAAAATAATAAAATAATAAAACATAAACGTGCTGAAAAAGTTTTCTAAATGTTAACAAAACAACAGCTTTTCTTTCATTTGGTGGATCTCAGTCCTAAATCTTAAGTAGGCCTACACACACACATAAACTCTCTTGAGGCAATAGGAAGAGTCCAGCTTTGAGAAACACGACACATTCTCCTGAATAAAGGTCATGACTCTAGTACATGGGGCAGAAGGGAATTAGTGCAGACAATTAGGTGAAGTTAGCGGTCATATCAAAGAACACTACAGTTTCATTTTGACAGTTTGGAAGAGTAGCCTAATTATAAAGAGAAGCAGCCAATCCATTCGTGTGGCCAAAGATAGTTCTGTAAATTACATAAAATAATCCTTCAGTATTCTAAAGGCCCGTTCACACCAAGAACACCAACGGACGAGAACGTTCTGTTTATTACGAGCTCACGCTGCAGTTTTGTCCTCAAACGTTCGTGTGCTTTGAAGTCAGTTGGATTCTGATTGGGTTGGGTTTAAATGGAATAAAATTATTATTATTACGGAAATGTCAAACAGTGCTACGAAGCAATTTAAAACCGTGAAAGACGACGTTTACTGAGAACCTGCATCATCCTTCTGTATCTCTACTGGCTCCATTTTAGATTCATGAATAATAGAGAGCACTTTTCTATGCAGCGCAATTCATCTGTTCAGTTTCACCCCAAGATTTTGCTCAGAGCAATGTTTAAACTAGCCAACCACCTGCAATTTAGACGCCTCCTGATAAAGGAAAAATCCACAGCCCTTAACAATGAAGCCTTCCCCTTACCTATCACACATACTGGACAGGACACAGCGCAGATAAGGGTTAATTGGCATCACGCTGTCTCTTGCCTTCTGTCACCAGCCCCAATTATAGCAGCATGGCTGCCTTTCTCTCAACCTGAGGGGCCTCCAGCTGGAAAACTCAGTTCCACTGCATGCACCACCAGAGACCAGTCTTCCTCCACACTGCCACAAGGCCAATTTGGCATGGCCGCACCGGCAGAGAATACTCTTGCTGAAATATATATATGATCTTCCTCAAACATGTATTGTTCCGCACTAGTGTTTCTTATCAGACTAAAGCCCCCTTGACATTCTCCAAACTTAGCAGGAACGAGACAGGAATGCAGCTCACCGGTGCTTAAAGATGCAGGTGGCTGTGTTCTTTCACCCTTTGCTCTTTTTCATGTCATCCTGCCCAGAAGTGCTTCAGAAACATCGCTGAAAGTACAATGAACACCATTTCTATCCTATAGAGTGTCGGAGTAGGAAAATATCAATTTGTGTACGTGAGCGTGCAGCTGACCGGTCTTATAAGGTCTTCTTTCAGAACAAGAGGACCAAAGATTTTGATTATACATGAGATATGTCAGATCATTTAGGCCACATATGCGTTACATTCTCACAAGGTATTGCACATATGCACTCACATATAAACTGACTGAACCAAAACTGAAAGGGCCTTTTATAGAATTACTCGCTCAAGTTCTAAATATGAATTCTCATACTAAGAAAAAAAATATTCTTTTAATAACTGTTTACTGAAATGTTCTTTCCCTGCTGAAACAACAACAGCAAAAAAAAAAAACAGTCTCCCAGCCTGACTAGCCAAAGACGTGGTCAAAACCCCTCTAAAACCAGTCTGCAAAACAGCTATAAACAGGCTTAGGCTGGTTTTAGCGGGGGTTTTTTTTTTTAAAGCTGGCCAAAAAATGGTTCTTCTTCTTACATCTCTGTGAAGAGTGAACTGTAAAAATGATTTTTCAAAGTAATAAACAGTACAAAGATTATTTTAGTATGTTTTACAAGAGAATACTATTTCAATCTTTCTACTTTGAAATTTGACGTTTAATTCAATGTTACTTGCGGTTTCTTTGTAATCATTTGTGTATAAATTGACGGTGAAGTAAATCTTACACCAAAGGTAACATCCAAAATCATTTGAAAATGTTTCAAAAGAATATGCTGACATTACACATCTAATTGATTTACATTGTAATTCTTAAGGGTTGATAGCATATTGAAAAGACCATGTGCGCCCTCTGTCTGTGAATGCTGGAATAAACCATGTGCATATATATATATATATATATATATACACACACACACATACACTGAAATCACTAATAGAGCATGATGTACAGCGCCCTTAAGTCACTTTCTTGGAAAAGTGTAAAAGACACACATAAAAAAACATATATATATATATATATAACTAAAAACCATAATTTTAAGTTAGAGTAATATTTTATTGTACAGACAATAGAATCAGATATCCTCAAAGGTGAATAATGTATAGCCCACACAGACAAAAGACAGTTCTTCAGTGATGATGCTTCTGCTTAAACTGCAGCCCACAGTATCCACACGTGCCAGATTTGGTTTCTTTGTCCTGTGAAAAGGTTGAATTAATTAATGCATGATGCTATAATATATATAATGTTACTGCAACAAGTAGACAGACATGTTTCTGCACATCTGATTAGTTCAACTGAAACAAGCACTTCAAATATGTCAAGAGGTTGTTGAACCATGCTTTATGCCAGGGGTGTCCAAACCTGTTCTTTGAGGGCCACTGTCCTGCAGATTCCTTGTCCAAATACCCGCACTTGATTACTTATATGACGTATTTCCTGTATTTGGTCCAAGTGTTCAAGTGAGTATGAAGACCACAAGTGTGTGTAGAACTTTTCATTACCTGATGGGACAAACTTATGTTGTAAAAATGCAAGTGTTTACAGAGCTTTATTTTTATTTTCAATGCTTTGCATTTTAAAATCAACTTCTAAATGTCTGTTCAGTAGTCCCTATAACATGACAATTTAATTTTGTGGTGCTTCTGATTGAGTGATAAAAAGCAGTTGCAAATGTTGTACAAAATAAATATCCCCACTACTCATTTGCACCAATAAAACGTGCAACTCTTTGTTTTACTACCAAATTATATGTAATATCTAACTATTATTAATATTTAACTTACATTGGAAAGGTTTACGTGACTTCTCGCGAGATCTCGGCAAAAAGTCTCACGAATTATTTCCAGAACATGATGCATGATGGGATACACTAAGCCTCGAAAACTGCTCCATAGCGGTATTCGAGATAGTGTGGATTTAGTGTGCGTTAAGGGCGTTTGGCGTTTTTAAGATCTGGGACAGTCTTGAGCACTTCCTGTCGCGCTCTCAAGTGGCCGAGACCGCAAGTGTGGGTAGTTGGACAAGGGGATTGTTTAGATCCAACTCTGAACCAGTTAATCAAGGTCTTCAGATTCACTAGAAACGTCCATGCAAGTGTGTTGGAGCTTAACTCTGCAGGACGTTGGCCTTTCAGAAGTAGGATTGGACACCCCTGCTTTAGCCAACGTAGAAGGGCTTGGGGAACTATTTTCGTTTCCAAAAGAAAGTAAGCGACTAACTCCCTGCACAAAGGGCCCTTCCACAAGTCAATTCGATGGTCACTTCTGCCAGAAGTCATTCTGCCATTTATGATCATGTGATCTTGGGTTGCACATCATTCATTTTGAAAACAGTTAATTTAATTTAGATGCCTCCTGGAATTACAACCCAATGGGAAATATTCCTTATTATGAATTTCTGCTGTTAAGTTATAATCTACCTTTTCTCATCTTTTCAATTTTATTAGCTGTTCTTATAGAAAAGACTTGTTTACCAAGTTGATGTAAACTCTGGGGTGGCCGATAGCCCCTCCGCCTCCATCACAGGACACCACTCTTGACTCTATGCATGTCACTGGTTCCTCAGCAACCAAGCTGATTGCAAAGTTCTCATTCACCTGCATCAAATATGAAAAGATCCGTGAGTGAACAATATACGGCAATATTTTAGTTGATTTTAATTTAAATAAGGTTATCTTCTAGTGCACCCAATGCAGTGTTGAAATAGTTTAGAGACCTCTTTTTGTCTGCCGATGAATCTAGCCCTTCTCACATCATTTTCGTTATAGACCTGCAACAAAAGCAAGCAGCAAACGGAATCATCCAGTTCACCGTGACACTGACAGCGGCAGCAGCATCCTTCATCACTCAGCTGCCTCTACATGCACAAACTTACAGTACTGCTATTAATACAGATTAATTTCACAAGACCTGACCGTCTACTCTCACAACAAATGCTAATAGAGACAAACAGACGTGCTTTAAAACTGAGCCTCACCTGTCCCGTGTGAGTAATTTTTTCTCCATAAATAGAAACTTCAACACTGTATTGCTGGGCTGGAACTGCAGACAACCTCAAGCCACTGAGCAAAGCCTTCGTATTTTTACCGAAGGACAAGATCCTTGGAAGGGTGGCTGCCATGTTTGCCCGTGATCATTACCCAGCAGCCTTTGCGTTGCTGTGTGCATGAAAACGATAGTTCTCTGCTGGCCCCTGCTGGTCGAGAACAACTTAATTCATTTGTATTTCCTATATTTGTGCGTTCAAACATGTTCCATTTACGATAGATTATGCAACTTTAAAACGCCCACGTGTTACTTTATGTAACAGAATAGCCATCTATATACAGAAGTTTGAATCCAGTGATTGTACTGCGCATGCGCGCGTTATGACTTTCATCAAAGTTATTACGTGACAGGAACTCGTGGAGTTTCCGTCCGTCTGAAGCATGTTGCCTTCACATTGATGGTTTTGGATTAAATAATTGGCTTATATAGGCGTTTCTAGTGGCATTTTAGACAGGTATGTGATGCATGTGTTTGTCTGCCTGTGCTCACTGTATTGAAACAAACACATTCATATGCCGATGAAGAGAAATTTATCAGTCTGGCAAGCTAGGTAACGTAGCTAGCGGTACTCTTAGCGTGAAGGTTATTATTAGAATTATTATGATTAATGAAGCCTTCTACACAGACTCTCAGTAAGTTAATATATGTGGAAATGAGATTAGTATTGTAGCATGTAGCTCTGATAATTTAAAATAAGAAAATAATTTAAAAATTAAAATATCTTTTAAAGAAACTATATTCAGACAGAGTTTTTCTAAACCTTCTTAAATAAGGTTTCTTAGCTTTGTCAATTCACCATTAGATATATTAGACAAGACATATTTTTTGTGAATATTTTTTTTAATATCAAAGACAGAAGGTAATTATTTTCTGCATCACAACCACAATATTCAAAATATATTATGTTATTTCATTTTCTAATTTTAAGAAGATCATATTAGCAGCTAGCAACACCTGAAAATAATATAGATACTGCATTTAATTCGTATCTGATAGGTGTAATATGGTTATTTTGTCAGTACCCTAAGACTTTCTGGAAAGAGCTGTAAAGCTGGTTTGAATGATTCTGGATTCTTAATTTATACGTTACATGTTTACATTAATTTACATGTTCAGCTACTACAGTAGTATGTGTAAGAATCTGAATTGGGGGACTACGTTCATACACCTGAATGTTGTGATTTTTTGCTTCACTAGGTGTTGAGAGCATGGCACCGCTGCTGCTCCCGTGTCTTGTAGGTTCCTTGACTCGGCAGTTGTCCCAAGTTGCCAGATGTGCTGCTTTCGGCTCCTTACCTGCAGTAGGTGCACAGAGATGCATCTCCACCATCACAGCTGCAACGGCGCGATTCAGAGGAGTCATCAACCCAATGTGGGAGCCACACGCGGCATTCCTCTCACCTCTGCTTGGACGATGCCAGCAGCTCCTGTGTGTTCAACCATCAGCTGGCATGAAGACAAAAACCGCTCTCAAAAGACGCTGTAAAGACTGCTTTTTCGTCCGCCGCCGTGGAAGGCTGTTTGTTTTTTGCAAATCCCACCCCAGACACAAGCAGCGTCAGGGGTGAATTATTTGAGGCCTTAATGTTTGTTGTCATACCGCTGACTGATACTTGAGAATCACTCGATTGGTGTACTGAGCATGTAAAGATCATAGAGTTTCTAATAAACTTTGACATCCTCATCTGAAAAGATGCTCTAAGATTTTGAGAATTATATTTTCATATATGTTCAGGAGCACAGCAGTTAACTAAACCTTATTCAGTCCTTATTTACATGTGTAAACCATAGACTGTATAAAAACATGGACGTAGTGTCCGTGACGTCACCCGTAGATTTCCGAAGAGTGTTACAACGCCCACCTAACTCGACGGTGGTGACGCGCGGCCAAGATGGCGACGTAAACAATCCACCTGTCACTCAAGTGGCCACGCTCTTAATTATGCAGAACTTTAAGGCTTAATATAATTTAAACGGATGAGCTATAAAAAAATTCACCCCCCTCACAGTTGTCATGAAGGGCGAAATTAGCTATATAGACCAAAATCATTTTTTGAACCAGGCTGTAAACATGTTTTTTTCTGCTGTAAAGTTGGGCATTTTAACATGGGGAGTCTATGGGATTGACTCCCTTTTGCAGCCAGCCTCTAGCGGCCAGTTGATGAATTACAGTTTAAGTCACTTCCTTGTTGGCTTCACAAGAGAGAGAGGGAGGTTGCCGCTTGGTGTAAACCCATTGAATTAAAATGTAATATTATTGAAAATACAATTTTGAATCATCCTTATGCTTTTTATGCTTTTGTCTGTGAGTCTGTGTAGCATCTATATTTGTTAAATCACATTTTAAGATGAAACTGTGAGTGCTGTGAGTGAGCAGTGATAATTGAAATATAACAATAACTTATCTATAAATAACAGGGTTGCCACAATATCTGACCAAAAACTCAACTTTTTTTTTTTTGATTTGGTGAGTGTGATGTTCTCAGAACTTTGGCTAATGCTCTGGAAAGGTTCTCTTAAAGTTATGAGCAGACGTCCTTCCAGAAACATTAATAGAATGTTTATTTGGTCTTAATTAAAAAAAATTTTTTTTTAGAATATTTCAGAATGATCAGAGAACATTCAAAAGTATCGTTGTTTGCAAGATGACCAAATGGAACTAAGAACATTCAGAAATAATGTTTTCATATATTAATGGGAACGTTGGAAAAGTGGTCTTAGAACATTTTTTTTTTTAGTTGGGTACTTATTAAAAATAATTCTAATTCTGAGTGATTTGGTAATGAATCATGCACACCTAATTGGAAATTGGTTTGTTATTGCAAGCAAGTTTTAAGGAATATTTAGCTGATGAAAGGTCAGAGTCAGAGAAGAGCATATAATTATGTAGAAAAATATGTATTTGACTTTTTTCCGTAACATGAATTAAACTAAACTAAATTAAATTAAAATAAAATAAAAACCCTGACATTTCCTGGTTTTTCATGACTTCGTGCTGTTCGTCGTTTGTACAGAAGGGGGCGATGCTGCACTGCTGAGAGTTCAGGCTTCTTGGCTCAAACAATGCTTCTTAACCTAAAGACTTTTGTTCTTCTGTCTTTTCTTATTGTGGATCTATAATGGCTGTTCTAACGTGAACCAATATTCTCAGAATTTCATATACAGTTTTTTAAAGGGAGTACCATGAATGGAAACGAGTTTGAAAACGTGCATATGAAAGGGAAACTGTGCTTAAGCTTTAAATTATAGGCTATATCTATGCAGAGTTAAATGATCTGATTCTTACTTAAAGTCTTCATGTGAGTAGTGCTCCCTAGCACTGAATACAGGAATGCTCAGCATTCACAACACTCCTCAGCTGTGGCCTGCTGTGGAAAGTTATGTTTACAAGATCCCAGCGGTTTTGTGCGCTGTGCACATTAATAGGCATGCAAGGGATCCTCTAGTCTAGGCAACAGAGCCGGTGTTCTGACAAATAATGCTACCTATCAGATTAAGCTACCAACACTGTATTTATCCTACTGTAAGGGTAGGTTTAGGGTTGGGGTAGGTGTACATGTTAATAAAACCTCACACTTTATTAATATGCTGGAAGCAAAATCTGATAGGTAGCACTTTTCGCTAACGAATTATGCTCTGTTTTAATGGGAGGTAGCCAAATCTGACAGGGTAGCACAAATCGTCAGAACACCGGC